GTGGTTTTAAAAATTGTTTTTATTAAGCTATATATTTTTCTCCACCCCCTCCCTTCCTCTCCCCTCCTACCCTCTCCCATGGTTCCCATGCTTCCAATTTACTCAGAAGGTCTTGTCTTTTCTACTTCCCATGTAGATTAGATCCATGTATGTCGCTCTTAGGGTCCTCTTTGTTGTCTAGGTTCTCTGGGATTGGGAAATGTTTGACAGAGCTAAACAATAGTAAACAGCTCATCTCTTACAAAGCCTTTAGGTTCTGCTATCGTTGTGTCTTCTGGATGAGTAGGAGTGAGCATTTGGTTAGATTTACAGTTCTTTATATTAGTTCAGAGGATATTTGGGTTTAAAAGAGAGAAAAAAAGAAAGAAAAATTGGCAAATGCTCTGCCATCAGACAGGCCAGATTAAGTACCAAGGTCATCTCTGGAATTGGTTAAGAGAGAGATTTAAAGTCAGTCTCTTAGAGATCACAATCTGAGGTAATTTCTGAAAGACCTCCCCAACCTTTATTTTTTTTAATGATAGAGCATCCAAATTAGGTAGTAACTATTGTCCATGCATATAGTATAATTGAAATTACCTGAAGTGAGTGAGAAGGAAGCATGAAACACAAAACAAACTCACTTAGGAGTTTATTAGAGGAGGCGTGTACAGACCTGGCAAAGTCAGTGTGCAGAAAGGAGAAAGCTGAAGATGGCGCATCCAGGTTTTAAAGACTGCCTAGCGCATGCGCACAGGGGGAATGACGTGACTATGTCATACACAGATGATGGAGCTCACGCATGCGCACAAGGACTCACGGAGCTGCGTCATATGTAGGTGACGCAATCACGCCGCACGGGGGTCACACAGGGCCTTTCAAGGTCCCCAGGGTGAGTAGGTATTTTTTGCCTGAGGGCTTGTCTGCATAGGCATGGTCCTGGAACCCAGAAGTGCCAGCCATGCTGGTTTGGCTAAAATCATAACAATAATATAATAGGACTTTTAATTCTTTTTTACTTTTATTTAGTGTGTGTGTGTGTGTGTGTGTGTGTGTGTATACAGCTGTTGTTTCTTTCCCTTCGCCAGGAGGGTCCTGGGGATTAAACTCAGGTCCTTGAATTTGATGGCAAATGCCCTTAACCCCTGAACCGTCTCTACTCTAATAGGAATCTGAAAAGAAATATTGTTTTAAGCAGCTCCTTGGGAATAAGTTCCTGCTGCTCCCCACCCCCCATAGGTCATCTGAAGATTACGTTTAGTTGGCCATGTAGTACACAGGAAACAATAGTGCCTCACTAGAATGTGTCAAATAGTGTTCTAGCCACAGGACCCAAGGCTTCACGTATACCACCTAATTCAGGAATGATGTCTGTCTAGTATTTCTGCCTTGGCTTTCATGTTTGGCTGCTTTGGAGAAGAAGCAAGCAAAGAGAACTTTCATAGACTTGTATATCTACCCATTTAACCTGGATTTTTGCTGATGAAATCTGTCTTTTCTTTCATCGCTATGAATGAAGGCTTGTGCATGTAGTCAAGGTCAAGCTTGTGCGCATGCTCTAGAGATCATCTAGTTGTGCAGTTCTCTGCCGTTTCTTCTACTTCACCAGCTTCGCTTTTCAATTGGATCTTTTGTATTGGAAAATAAAGTTTTCCTTGACCTTTTGCCACCATTTCTCTATATAACTGGTATCCTCTCTCCTTATTCGCTTTTCTAGTTACCCATCCCTTAGCCCAGTAAGCCTTCCTCTGGACTGAGTGAATGTCTTAGTATTCCATTATTATCCCCCCACAACACACACACACACACACACACACACACACACACACACACACACTGGTTTATCTATACCCTTATGGTTTTCTGTCCCAGACTTTGGACTTTCCCATATTTTAAACTGTTATCCTTCCTCTTACCTTCTAGGTCTGTTATAAACCTATGGTGATGTGTCATCACTTTGGCTTTAATAGAAACTATTTTATAAGTAAATAGTAAAATTAAAAAAACTGACTTTTATGTTACCCATATTTGCCACTGTTGGTATGCGATGTCCTTTGTGCGTATTAACTGTTTCTGTTTGCCTTCTAGAAGAACTCCCTTAGCATTTCTTCTAGCACTTTCGCTTGGTAAAAATAGTCTCAGCTTTTGTTAACCCACAACATCAACCTTTTACCTTTGTGTTGAAAGCTATTTCACTGGATATAGAAAGTTCAGTTGGCAGGGCAGTCCCCCACCCAAGCATTTTAAAGATGTCATTTCATCATGTTCTTATTTAAATGACTCCTGAGGACACAAGAATGGCAACCATTCTCCTTTTCCTTCCTCTCTCTATGCTCTTCCCTTCTTCTTCTGGCTCACTCTCCCACTGTTTTTTCTCTTCTCTTCTTCTCCTCTCCCCTCCCCTCCCTCTCTCCCTCTCTCTCTCTCTCTCTCTCTCTCTCTCTCTCTCTCTCTCTCTCTCTCTGTTTTTCCTGATAGTCTCTATGTGTAGCCTTGGCTGTCTGGAACTTGCTCTGTAGACCAGGCTGGCCTCGAACTCAAAAAAAAAAAAAAAAATCCAACTGCCTCTGGCTCTGAAGTTCTGGGATTGAAACACCTCTGCTGGGCTTCCCCACTGATTTTTATCAACACAATAATAGTACACCTTGGGTTTTTGTTGTTGTTGTTGTTTTTTAATTGTGCTTGATTGAGTTGACTATTGTTTAATTTGGGGATTGTTTGCTCCCGTTTTTCTCTCCTACAGCCCTGTCTGTTGTTGACTGTTCTGGGAGTTCCACTTGGCTTCTTTGTGTTCCTTCTTTGCTGCTCTTCATTTAGGGATGCTGTTTCTTGCTGTTTCTTCAAGTGCACCGCTTTTGTTGCTCCATGCTATGTTTTTTTCACTGTCAATCTCATTTCAGAAAACTTTTTTTCAGAGATTTTTTTTCATTCCTAGAAATTCCAAACAATCTGGCTTAAAGCTTTCTTTTTTCTCTCCTCGTAAATGTATTTGGGCATTTATAATATGACAATATCTTAATTTACTTGTAATAAATGGCAAATATTTTGAAACATTTTAAATAATTGTTTTAAGGCCTCTGTTTGCTAATTACATCATGTCTGGCATCCTCTGGCTTGTGTGCATGTTTGAAAATTTGTTGCTAAGTGTTGGACAATCTGGTTGTACGTTGTTGAATTCTGCATTTTTTTTTTCTGTTTATGGGATTAGACACCTTCATCTTCATTCCAGTTCAATCACTGTGAATCAATAATACTTTGGAGTCTTACTTTTAATCCATTTCGGAGGGAACCTAAGCAGCCTTACCTCTAAGATTCTTTTAGCCTTCCTACCAACACATTGTCCTTTTGAGGTCTCTGCTGAAAGCCTCACATAGCCTGGAAGCCTTCGTGGAAACTTGAACGTGAATCACTTGTGTGAAATCTTTGGGACCCATTCATCCTATAGCGTCCTGATAGTTGTGATTTCCCTTGAGGTTATTCTTTGCCAGTCCCATGGAGTTTAAATGTCTCTCCTCTAGACAGACTTCCCTTAGCCTCTATCTCTGGCACATAAATTCTAGATATTTTAGTTATCCATTCAGTTCAGTGACTATCTAGTTGTTTGATTTTCATCTTATTTTTCCTTTTCCCATAGTCTAAAAGTTACTTTCCAGCTAGGATCCAAGAGTTCCTACAGGATTTATTTCTTTCTGTTTTTACAGTTAGCAGTGCTTTAATGATCTGCTCCTTACGTGGCTAGCTTATGACTATTTCTCCCAAGTTGTTAGCAAACTTTAACACAAATATATGTCTGATAGAGAAAACTGAAGTGAAATCAAGTTTGGGGACTTCTAAGTATATTTTTTAAAGCTTCAGTATACATAGTTACAAAAGCTATTACAATATTGATATATTTATTTCTGTTTCACCATCTCGGAGGGGAAGGGGAATATACCAATGTTTTCATTAAATCATTTTCTGACTTTAGATAAACAAAGATATTAGTAGAAATGAGATTTGCTAAAGAGAAATTTTGGTCCATTTCATCAGAGTAGCTGAGTTGATACTGAATGAGGTAGGCTCTGTTTTGTGCTTTCAATGAAAAAAAAAAGTGAAAGATGAGGAAAAAACGGAGTCAAAGAAATAGCTTTCAAAAGTTATTTTTAAAAAGTGAAAAATTAAAATAAAAGCATTAAGATCTCAGATATGAGTAGAAATGTAAGAAGCAAAGGAATTCTGGGTCAGAAGAAAGAGGAAACGTGCGTGTGCCTTACTGGCTTTCTAGCTGAACGAAATGGAGATGAAGTGAATTATGAACTTAACAAAGCTGCCATTTGTATTTTATATCTCTAAGCCCCGAGCTTTAAAAGAAGACACCATTAATCTCTGTAATATTAAGTCCCAGTGTGAGCAAGATGTTCAGAAAGAGCCCCTCTTAGACTTTAATAATGAGCTAAGACCAAGAGACCCAGCACATTAATTGCACATAGAATAGCAGAGAAAATTAGGACAACTTGAACTCTCAACTACTTCTCTCGAGTTGATGGTACCTCTACTTCTCTCTAGCTAGCTCTTTAAAGTACAATTAAAGGGTAAGTTGCAGATTGATTGTAGCAGATATGAATTCAGAATTAAAGTCAGTATTTCACACCATACTTCAGTAATAGCCTTAAGCAATTATCTCTCTTGAGGTATGAGTTAAAGACACATTGCTCACAGCGTAGTTTAGCTTATGATTTGTCAGGCTTTTTGATAACATTTGATGACAAAAGCTTATCTTTGACTGATTGAAAAAGCATCCTTTTTGGTTTTTGTTTGTTTGTTTGTTTTGTTTTGTTTTTCAAGTTTCTCTGTAGCATTGGAACCTGTCCTGGAATTCCCTCTGTAGACCAGGCTGGCCTTGAACTCACAAATATCCACCTGCCTCTGCCTCCCTAGTGCTGGGATTAAAGGTGTATGCCACCACCGCCACCCTGCAAGCGTCAATATATTTATTCTGGATAGAAAAACATTCATTTGCATTTTTACTTTTTTAATTTTAGAAATTAAAAGCCAAGAAATGCCTCATTCCACAAAGAAAGAACTGATCCTTGGTGTCATGGTGGGAACTGCCGGAATCAGCTTGCTGGCCTTATGGTACCACAAGATCCGCAAAACAAGAATAACAACGAACTTGCCGAAATTTCTTTCCCTGGGTAAGAAATTCAATTCACTAACTTTGCAAGATGAAACTCACAGTGAACAAGGAGCATTAGCGGTCTTTCAAAGAAGGCAACTTCAGATCCTGGAAAAGGTGAATGAATTACTGACCAGCATGGAAGAACTTAAGGAGGAAATCAAATTTCTTAAAGAGACGATTCCGAAGCTGGAGGAATATCTGCAGGATGAACTTGGAGGGAAAGTAACAGTTCATAAGATCAGTCCTCAGCACAGAGCTAGAAAGAAACGGCCGACGACGGCTCCAAGCGCAGCAACAAACAATAATAGTTCAGAGGAAGCAGAAAGTGAAGGAGGGTAAGTGGCCGTGACGCCTCCTCTGGTGAACTGGTTACTTCTCATGGTATTGTTGTGTAGGTCGCTATTCACTCATGTGCTCTGCTCTGAACGGAAATGGAAAACAACGATTGTTTTGCCGTAGATTATATTTAATTAAATTTAATTAAAAATGTTAAATATTATTGATATTTTAGATAGCTTAGATCACATTGAAAAAAGGATGAGATAGATAGATAGATAGATAGATAGATCATCCTATTAGAGTTGAGGAAGACAGTCATTATTTTCCAGAATAGATAACTTATTTTCTAATGTGGTTATTAAAAATAACCAGTAGTAAGTTGCATCATGTAAGAGCTGGGGAAGATGATCATCATTTGCCAAGATGGATAACCTGTTTTATAATGCGATCACTATATGGCTTTTATATACAAACTCCGTAGACCAATGTTGTCCAATAGACCTTACTGTGATGTTAGAAGCTGACTGTATCTGTGCTGCCTGACACAGCAGCCACTAACCAAGTGTGATCCTTTAGCGCTTAAATGTGGACTGGCATGAACGAGGAAAGAACTTACATTTTTTAACTCATTGTAATTATAATTTTATTTCATGTAATTAAATGAACCACTAGGAACTAATAGCTACTGAATTTTACTGCAGATCTAGAAAGCTCAGAGGATATATAAGGGATTCTGTTTTATCCCTACATTATCTTAGCACTAAAAACAAGTATTCTCTTAGTTGGGAACCATAAGTGGCGTATGCCAGTCAGATTGTGCCTTAAAACCTTGCCTTGGGTAGTGTTTCTGAAGAACAAAATATCCAGGGTTTTGTCATTTGTTTCTTAAGGATTTGTACTGAATGTGATAGAACTGGCATCCTTGAGGGTGGGAACCTTGTCTTCATGACACCTTACCTCTGTGCTTTCACAGAGTAGGTGCCAGTAAGAATGTCTTAGCCAAATGAGTGAGCCGTACACCTTCTGTGGAACTGGGAGGTAGCATCGGAAGGCAAATGCTTGTACTCAAGTCTTAGACATCAGTGCCAGGTCCAGAATTGCCAAGCATCTTTTTGTGCATTGGGAGAATGACTATGAAGTTTTTTAGATAGGAAAAAGCCACAGATGCCAGAGTAAATGGTCAGGTCTAAGAACTCGGTGTTCCTGAACAGAAACAAAATGCCCTAGACTAGTTTTAAGATGGGTAAGTGGAATGTTTAGAAAGCTCTGAGTACATTGGGAAGTGTGAATCAGAAGAGAGACCTGGGAATTTTCATGAGAGTGGGTAAGAGCCTCTAAGGACTCTAATAGTTTTCAGATATCTACCACAATATGGGGCATCACTGAAAGGCACAGATAACCAGTGGTTATCGTGTCTGCATGGACATACTTCATCAGGAATGTTGGGTGAGGTTTGAGCCGTCCCTTCACAGACAGGATGCAATAGAGCTAGAGACGGGGAGGCGACCCAGAAGCCTGGTGTAGGAGTACAGGCTAAAGTGGTAAGTGGCCTGTATTCTTAAAACCCTGTCTCGATTAATTCAAGCCTGCTTGCTCAGAAGTCTAAAATTCTAGAAAGAAGCAGTCTGTGTTCCATTTAGGACAGATAAAAGAAGATAATAACGCCACATATGGGGATAAGTATGTAGTGAATGTGCACATATGGGGATAAGTATGTAGTGAATGTGGGTTCAAAGACGACTTGTGGAAACTGTGAATGGCGTAACTGGAATGGAGGGATCCAGACTTTAAGACAGAGAGCAACACAGTACCTCCCTTGGCTTAATCATGGGTGTTTTTGCTAGCAATTGCATGAAAGGGTAGATACAATACAGTCCTACTAACAGACTAGACTATAGTAAATGTCACTAAACCAAACAACCAGGAATAACTCTCTCCTATTTAATACTACTTTAGAAAAATGCTTTAAGGAAAACCCCAAAATTATTTAATTAAATTATTTTTTGAATGAGATACTAAAAGATGTACCCTATCTTTGTAGGTAAATATCTGTAAGCTAGCCACTTCCCTAGGCCTTCTCTCTCTCTATATATATATATATGGAACTTGCCTGATCTCTTCCCAGCAGGCACTCTTTAGCACCACATGCATTTCAGAGACCCCAGGAGAAAACCAGTCAAGAAAGAGGCATATGCCAGTCAGATTATGCTATTTTATGAATAACAAAATGATTGCAAGTGTTGGGCAGTTGACTAGTCCCAGTTTGCAGAATCTACTGGGGAACCCTTTAACTATGTGAACTAAAATACAGACTTTGTCTTTGTGTGTGTGTGTAGGGGGGGTATTTGTTTGTTTCTTGTTGTTTTTGCTCTTATAGTTACTTCCTTCCGTTGGTGTTGAAATTCAGGTCTAGGCTTCCAGGCAAACAGACACAGATGCTGATTGTAATGATGACTTTGTAGCCCTCAAAGTTGTTAGAGTTAGAAAATAATTTTTTTCAGATCAATTAAAAATAAAATATTGTAATGAAATCTTTTCTTTAGGAGACAGCCATTACCTTAATCTGCATGCAATCTTTGACGGTTTCAGTGTTTTTTCCTACATGTATATGTTCCTGCATATGAGGAACAAATGGTAAATTGTTCCTAAAATGTACAGAAATGACATTACTGATGTATTGTTTTTGTAGCTGTTTTTGCTTTAATATTTTATTCTCTTTTGAGGCTTTTCCATGTTGATGCCATGCAAATATGCTTCTTTTTTAAATGTGGTATTGCATTCCATTGATGGGATCTTGAAGTGATTACTTACATTGTTCTATTATTAAATAAAACTCAAGAGTCAGATATCAGGATAGAAATCTGATTGATCAGAGAAGCGGCTACTAGACAACAGTGACCTTCCCTCTCTTTCCTTCTTCTATCCAAAAGGACCCCCTGAATCTTTCTAGGTCCCTCCCTACTACTTCCTGTGTCTCTCTATACGTCCTGGGTCCTCCAAAACCTCTATGGCTAATTCTGGCTAGCTAGTAGCTAGCTCTGCCCTCTAATTCAAGGTGAACTTTACTGGCGGTCTAGGGGTGTCAGGGGGTGTCAGAGTGCGGTGAAAGCATCTCCCAACAGGATATAGGTATGCCTTATTAGTGAATGTTTACGTCGCCATTGGTTTGTTCCTATAAATAATGCTTCCGTGAACGCCCTCATAGTTCCTCAGGCACCTGTGGATGGAATTCTATGAAGCATGCGCTTGAAGTACTGACGTCGAGACTGCTTGTATTGCTTATGTGCGTATTAATAAATCTTTAATGCGTATTAATAACTCATGTGCCTATTAACAAGTCTTTAAAGTACTCCCGGCTCACAAACCTGACTGTATGAGAATGCTTATTGTCTCATATTAATACTTGCAGTGTCAGACTTTTAAATTTTAGACAAACATGTGAAGATGAAATGTTAACTAATAATTTTCAAATTTGTATTTGCCTGAACATTAGTAATGTTGAGCATAGTCTCATAATATGTTTGCAAACAGATCTTCACTTCCATGAAGGGGGAAGGGAGAAAGAGAGAGGGGGCTGGAGAGAAAAAAAATAATACAGCTGAAGTCCCTCTTATTCACTTACTGTGTCCACTCCTGTACCAGGCACTGTTTGGACTCTGGGGATGCAACAGAGAACTAAACAGTCCTGTAAATTTTACCACTTTTCTTTTTTTTTTTTTTCTTTATTCTTTTTTTTTTTTTTTTTTTTTTTTTGATTTTCCACGGGGTTTCTCCGTAGCTTTTGGTTCCTGTCCTGGAACTAGCTCTTGTAGACCAGGCTGGCCTCGAACTCACAGAGATCTGCCACTGAGTGCTGGGATTAAAGGCGTGCGCCACCACTGCCCAGCCCTACCACTTTTCTTTCAGATGAAGCAGGCAGGATGTTGAAGAGGAATGCTTCCAGTCATTTTAACCAGAGCCCCAAAGGTGAAGAACCACACAAAGCCTTTCAAGTGCTTAGCATCCTGTGTAATCAGGTGCTAGACCCTCCTGGCAAGGACAAGGACGCGCTAAGAGACTGAAGCCATTGCCTGTGTGACTCTTCACACATGTGCGGCTCTGGAAGGAGACTGAAGCCATTGCCTGTGTGACTCTTCACGCATGTGCGGCTCTGGAAGGAGACTGAAGCCATTGCCTGTGTGACTCTTCACGCATGTGAGGCTCTGGAAGGAGACTGAAGCAGTTTCCTGTTGAGCGCTCACGCACGTGCGGCTCTGGAAGGAGACTGAAGGGTAATGTGTATAGGCTTCTGGGACCAGTGCTGCTTGGAGTGGGTGGAGGCAAATGAGCCTGAAAAGGACCCGGAGAACTGGTCGAGCAAGTGTGTGCTGAGGTGGAAGAAGAAAACCAAACAACCCCACCCCACAACAAAGCAGCAGAGGACAGAGAAGCCAAGGAAGAATGCGGTTTGCAGGACATCAGTGAGACCCTGTGCTCTCCTCATTCCGACACAAGAATACACCCTGGCGCAGCGTTGACAACATAGTTGGCATCAGTTCCTCAAACCTGAATTCTTTTCTTAAGATGGAGTTGAGGCCAGTGAGGTGGCTCAGAGGGTCAGAACCTTTGCCACACAAGCCTGACAACCTGTGTTCAGTCCCTGGAGCCCAAGGTCAAAGGAGAGAACTGACTCCCAAAAGTTGACCTGTGACTTCCACATGCCTGCCATGATGCCATGATTTGCACACCCCATCCCCAGTAAAACAAAATAACAAACAAACAAAAAATAACAAGCAAAATAATTTTCCTTAAAATGTGGTTAATAATGTATGTGTCTTGTCGTTTTTAGCCTTAATTGAGATGCTACAGGCAGGTGCTTTGCCCCCAGTCTGATCCATAGTGAATTCTGTAAAACGCCGTTATTTTATCAGTTAGAAGGGAAATGGGCCTGGGGATGCAGCTTACTGTTTGTGAAGCACCTGCCTAGCAATTGCAAGGTCCAGGGTTGTACACCTAGCACCGTGAAGGAAAGGGATAAATGTCTCAAATGCACTTAAATGGAGGCAGGATTTTTTTCTTTCTGCAAAGATTTTAGGAATCGAAGACATATAGGGTCTGTCTCATCTATAAAGCTCTTCCACTGGGGCGTGGAAGTAACTACAGACGACATGTGACTCCAAAAAAAAGTTTTTACAAAAACAGGTGGCAAGTAGATTTAAGATGGTGAGCTACTTAAGCTATGTTTCTTTCCTGTAACATAATCTGTGTGTCTTGAGCCCCTCTGCATTGCCCTAGGGCAGTGGGCCAAGGAGGGCCAGCCCGAAGATTCTGGCAATTACACCACTTGCTGTGTCATGAGTATTATGTCTCTTGTTGCTGACCTGGGACTCCGCATCTTCTGTAAGTGGTTTACCGATTCGATTGCTTGTCGAATAAAGTCATATCCCAGATCTGACAGTGCTGTGTTGGAAACTGAGAGCTCTAGGCCTCTTGTAAGGAATCTGTTCAAGGGTTTCCTGGAGCAGAATCTTAAGGAAGGAAGAGTGACAAAGGACAAAGGAGCATAGAAGGACATTGAGCAGCAAATAAAAGTGTTTGTGGGGAGCTTTACGCCCTAAGTGGGTTTACAAATGCTTTAGAGACAATACTCTAAACTGAGATGGAGAAAGGACTCTTTTTTAATAGCTCTGCTAAACTTACAGTTGATGGGTGTCAGTTGTTCAGAGACTGATAAAGCATAAAGGATAATACACATAGCAGATCTCCTTCATCTGTGCCTGTAGTCCAAGTATCAGATGGGGCGCTTCCCTGTCATTGTGGATAGATAAATATTTGCCACTTTTTAAACCTTCCTTCCCCATTTCATATGTCATCAGTTCAAGTGTTTAGGAGTAACCCACTGCACGAGATGTAACGACACTGGGCAAAGGATATTCCAGAGAAAGAAGGAAGGATCCAGACACCAGTCTTATGCATAAGATTGCTGGTGAGAGGCCATCCCAAGGAAAGAACTGTGCAGAAATCGTGTGTGTTAGCGCCTTCATTCAACTGCATTTTTACCTCTTGTCAGCGGATTCCTTGCACGTACCGAAATCCAAATACACATTCCATAGCCATAGGAACTCCAGCTCTTCAGAAAGATGAGCCTCAGAAGAGCCCCAAAGAGTCTCCGCCATCACAGTCTGTGTGGTTGCCATGGTAGTCTCTCGCGCAGCTTACTACTCAGGCGTCTGACACCTATGTCACTAGATTCTAGAGTTTCCCGCCATCACAGACTATGTTGTTGCCATGGTAGTCTACATGCAGCTTAAGTATTCAGTTTTCTGACCTGTTCCACCTACACAGGGCATTTTACGTCTTATGAATGATGGCTTAGAAGGGAAAGACTTACTTTGGATTAAATTCAGTATGGGAAAATGCTTAAGGTATGCCTTACAGACAAAGCAAACGAAAACCACAAGCACTTCATGTGTTTCCTATTTGGTGAGCTAAAGAACGTTGAAAGTGTTCAGAACCCCACTGTAGCGCTGCCCTCGGGTTCCCACAGCAACTGGAGATGTGTGTGTTTGAAGCATCCTCAAACCTGCCGAGATTTTTGCTTCATCCATGGCAGATATGTTAAAATGTAATTAGTCAATGGGATATAGGTTTGTTTCAGTTAATTCCCTTAAATATGGTAGTTGAATAGTCTCAAAGTGTGTGTGTGTGTGTGTGTGTAAGTTCTAACTCTCTGGGGACTTAGGCATGATGTCGTCTTATGTTTCCCTTCATTTTTCTTTCCTTTCTGCCTACTTCCCCGAGTCTTTCACTCTCCCCATCCCTGAGCTTTAACAGAGTGGGCAGGCTCTTGTCAGGAGATAATCTACCTATCTACACATTCTTGGGCTCATCTGTGTGTCCATTAATCTGAGCCGCCCTGTTTTCTAAGTAGCTGTTGTTTCCCGTTGGTATGGTAGAAATTATTCTCCAGGAGGCTCGCTAGGTCTCCACTCAGTTCCCTGTTCGCTTTTTCTTCCTCATTTGGCCTTCTTTTCACTCTAGCTGCCAGAAAGATGACCAGAGCTTCCAACAAAATTATCCTGAGGACCTAGTTAATCCACCACACAAGCGTCTTGGATCCTCTTGTATTTTACGGCCAAAAGCAGCTCTGGGTTTAATAACTTGCCGTCCTTCTTCAACAAGTAAGTTAAGTAAAAATTTCTCTTCTTCATCAAGTGCATCAAGTCGCTTTTTCCCCTCTAGACGACGACATAATTTACTGGCAAGCCTTCGAAGGAGACGGAGACAGCGAAGTAGAGTTAACTTTGATTCTCAGGAAGACATAACTTCTAATGTCGCAAGATCTTCAGATCTCATTGGTGCCATTAAATCTCGAAGATGTTTTTTATCCCCTCACCTAAGTGTAGTTTCCTGTTACAGGGGTAGCATTAGCTATGATACTCCTCAAGATAGTCTGAACCTGCCTCATGCAAAGGAAATTCAAGGATTTTCTAAAAAATCAAATAATAGTGATGCTCAAAAACGTATAAGCTTCTCTGATCCTGACCATGGCATTAAGTATTTTCCAAATTGGGAAACAAAAGCCGTTTCTCCAGGCCTTCGGACTCCTGAAAGGACATCTCACTCACCAAGCCTAACAGTATCTCCCTTTTCTCTTCCAACTGTTATGTCTTCTTCCAGTCAAGTAACTTTATCAATTGCTGATGGCCGAGAATATGGCCAACTAAATAAGGATTCGGAAGATGCCTTTCATCATAGGTCTCAGAGTACAAATTACTCTCCAGGTGGCACCAAACATCTGTCTCAGAATAATGCTTCCACCAGCCTCCCCCGTGATGGACGTTCTTCACTCTATAATGATGTCAACAACTTAATTGTCGAAGTTATCTCAGGCCCCTTTGAAGAAGAAGGTTTTCCTGCCTCGCCTCCAGATGAAGATACAGCTTCGCCTATTGAAATGGCTCAAATAAGGTCACTTAGATTTTCCTTTCTCTGAGGAGGGCAGCTCAAATCAGAATTTCCCACCCTTCCGTCTCCAAAGTCACTTGAAACCAGTACTCACTCCGCTTGGAAATCTGTGCTCATGGCTCTACCGCAGTAGGCGGGCGAGGTTTCTGGATTGTAGTCTACACGTAATAGTGTGTGGTTTTGAGAGTTTATAGATAGTATTAGAGTGTAGAAGCCAAAGATGATTTCATGTTTCAGGTTTCTGTCAGATTACAATCCAGAGGGTGACTAGTCCTAGCTTCTTAAGTGGCTGTTGTAATATACCATAGTCTTGAAAGTGACACTGAGTTTTTTCTGTGTAACTTACCTGAACAAAATGCTTCCTTGGAGACAGCGCTCCCTTTGGTCCTAATCGCTAGAGATGGTAACTCTATATAATCTGTGTTTATGGTGATTGAGTCATACATTTTCATCCACACCACCTTTTACTCCTCATACTTCGCACACAGATACCACACTGACAGAGTTTTCGTTAACACAAGAATTAAGTAAACAGTGATGTAATGGGAAATATAGCTTATTTAGAACCCAGATTTTTAATTAAATTCATTTATTTGGGGTGCATATACATGCCGCGGTGTATGTGTGGAGGCCAGGTGACAGCCTTTAGGAGATGATTCTCGCTCCCATCTAGGTTCCAGATGTCAGTCTCATGTCGTCAGGCTTGGTGGTGAGTGCCTTTATCTGTTGAGCCATCTCATTGGCTCATAACCCAGAAGTTTTGATTAATAATCTAATTCTGTGTTTGTATATGCACAAATCTTGGAACTCAAAGAGTCATGAAATGTCTCTCAAAATTGTATTTTTAGAGTATTTTTTATTCTTTCTCAGTAGACAAAAGTTACATAAGTATTCTCAAAAAGTAATGAGTAGAGAGATACGTACGCAACTAAAGAAGATTTGTTTGAATATAATTAGACTTTGTTCATAAAAAGGTACTTATGGTATTTTCCAGTTATTTATCATAGTAAAATGAAACCCCAAGCCCCATCATTAGGTTGAAATGCTATTTTTAAATGCGAGTGTTTCTACTTATCTTAACATATTAAAATTTTATTTTTAATTTTAAATTTATTACTTGCAATGAACATGAAATTCATGTATCATTGAAACCATTTTGAGGTGTATAGTTCAGAGGTATTAAAAACATCCACAGTACTATAGGACTAACATCACCATCATTTTCACGGCTCTTTTCACCTTGTAAAACTGAAGTTCTTTACCCATTAAATAATAACTCTTTAGTTCTTTTTCCTCCTGTACCCTGTCTATTAGCTTTCTGCTTTCCATGATTTTGACTAATTAAGTGGCTCATATAAGTATAATTATTAGTATTTGCCTTTTCCAACTGGCTTATTTCACTTAGCGTTATGTCATCAAAGGTCTGTGTCGCATATATCAAAATGTCCTTTCTTATTTCTTAAGGCTGAATAACACTCCGTTTTATATACAAATCACATTTCACCTAAACATTCATCTGTCCTTGAGTAATTTGGATTTTTTTCTGTATTTGAATTGTTCTGAGTAATTCCACTATGAACATGAGGGCAAATGCTCTTTGAGATACTGCTTTTTTATGCTTACTAGCATGTATCAATTATACATAATAATGGGTTTCACCATGACATTTTCATACATGCACACAATGTATTTCAATCCTATTCACTCTTGCCTTCTAGTTTCCCTCTCACTCCCTCTGATCCCCTTTTCTCAACTAGCACCCCATTCTATTTCTCGGCTTATTGGCAGGAGCATGGACACCTTACCAGTGCTATCCAATTGAAGAAAACATTTCCCCACCAGACAACAACAATGTGTAAATTCTCAGGGAGGAAAGTGCCTGAAGAACTGCTCCCTATCCCACAACAGGATGTTGACAGGCCTCTGTTGCAGGCCTTGAGCAGCACCTGTGAATTCTCGAGTGCAACAGCCGTGCAATGCCTGGTAGTCAGCATTCCACACCATACATCCCGTCTTCTGGCTCTTACGTTCTTGCCCACCGCGTCTGTGATATGTGCAGGACTTTGTGGGGACGGGGAGCTGTGCAGACACCCTGTTTCTTGCTGAGCATTCAGCAGTCGCTTATTATTCTCCCACTCAAACAGTTGTGTCTCTGAAGTTAGTGCTGGCCGTTTCAAAAAGAGGCCTCTCTGACCGAAGCCGACAATGCCACTAATCCACTGGCTTAAACAAAGAGAGCAGTTTGACAGTTAGCAAAACGACAGGAGTAGCCTCCTCACTAGGGACTATCACCTTCCCAGCCACGGGCTTTTGGCTGGCGTTTTAGTACCAGATGTGAATTCCCTCCTGTGGAGCCAGGCCTCCAATCCAATCAGAAAACATATCGGTTACTCTCCAGATAGACTTGCCGTTCTTGCACTAGAAGTATGTCTTGCTGGCCAGTAGTTACTATTGCACTGGAGGGCTCATAGCTGAGTAAAACTCCTAATGGCAGTTCTCTCTCGGCATCTGTACAGCAATTTGACCTCCAAATGTAAACAATGTATATCATTACATAAACACTATGTAAGTATCTTAATCAGAGGTAGAAATGTACACTGCAACATGGTAAATATATATGTCAATACTATACATATATATATACATAAAAATGTTTTAAACAGAGGTAGAAGCATACTCGCATACAATAGTCAATATAATTTAACTTTGTATCAAAAATAAGAATTGATACCAATATAATTTTCTAAAAACAATAATTTACAAATACCAATCTAGTATCCTATCACCAATTATCCCTCTTTTTTTTTTTAGAACCTCCATGAGCCTATAAAATACTTCCCCCATCCCTCAACCACATACCAATTATAATCAACCCCTAAAGGATGTCCCTAAACCTGAGGGTAAACTCTCCTGGGAGAGGGGACGTTGTCCTCTAAAATTGCTTCAGCTGTCATGGGGGCGACGTTCTTCTTAGGGGGTCCTGTGAAAGTAAATAATGGTAAAATTACAAGATTAATATTTGGTCTGGGAAAATTGTAAGTAGTCTCTGAGTGTTTTGAGGATGTCTGACCAGAGTGTTGTAAGAGATGTGAACCATTTGGAACTGTCTTGTCCAGCTGGTACCAGAAAACAGGTCTTGTAGTAGCGATATCAACATCATGACATCATATTAACCGGGTAAAGTCGATGTTGTGGGGCCCCATCTTCTTCCTGGAGCTTCAAAGATTACTGCAGGAAAATTTATTGTTACTTATGGGAAACTTAAGCATTATCTATAAAGACATATACAGACGTATATATTTAATGAAAGGTATACTAAAGACAGAAACAGATATGAGAAAAAGCAAAGTGTAGTGATGCAGCGAGCAGGCCTGCTTTTCGTCCCGCCCTGCTCCCGCACAGCTAGCTTTACACACAAAATAGCAACATACAAATTGTATTCTTTTAAACACTGCCTGGCCCATTAGCTCTCGCCTCTTACTGGCTAACTCTCACATCTGATTAACCCATATCTAATAATCTGTGTAGCACCACTAGGTGGTGGCATACCAGGAAAGATTCTAGCCTACATCCGTCTCGGGTCGAAGAATCATGGCGTCTGCCTCACTTCCCTTCTTCCTCCCAGAATTCTGTTCTGTCTTCCCTGCCTACCTATGTTCTGACCTATCAGGCCAAGCCGTTTCTTAATTAATTAACCAATGAAAGCGACAGATAGATAGAAGACCTTCCCACATCAGCAAAGAAAGTTTATAAATTATTATTATTATTATTATTATTATTATTATTATTATTATGTCCCATATCATGGCTCTTGACAGGAGACAGAAACTCTGAGATATCTCTTACCAACAGGATTGGAATTGGAGAAAGACTGAGCCAGAGTCCAACTCCAAAACCAGCTCTATATATATTTATAAATAAATGCACCCTAGCCAAATGTGATTGGCTGAGCTTCCCCATCACTTTTCTTCTACCCTTTTCATATGGATACCTTTTATTTCTTCATTTTGCCTAATTGCTCTGGGTTGAACCTTAAGGGATATGTTGAACTGAACTAGTGAAAGCAGGCAGCTTTGTGCATTCCAGGTCTAAAGAAGTAGCTCTCCGCCTTTCATCGCTGGGCCTGTTACCCTTGTGCTTTTCATATGCAATCTTTGGTACATTGACACAATTTTCTTCCATTTTTATCAGAAAAGAGTGCTAAATTTTGCCAAGGGGTTTTTTGTTTGTTTTTTACATTAGTGGAGATAATCTTGAATTTTTCTTTGCATTTTGTTGCTATAGTATACTATGCTGGTTATTTCATGTATTAAGTTACCCTTGCAGCCAAGAATAAATCCTACCCCGTTGAAGGGTATAGTCTTTCACACTGTGTTGTTAAATCCTGTAAATCCTGTTTGCTTGTACTTGAGAATTTTTGTGTAAATATTCATCAGAAATATTAGTCTATCATTTTCTTTTCTGGTAGTGTCTTTGTCTGGTGTTCCCGTCTGGACAATGCTGACCTCATAGAATCCATTTGAATTGTTTTCCCCTCTTCAGTTATGGGGCAGTGGGGAGACTCAAGAGTGTTGCTATCAATTCTGCTTTAAATGTGTGGGAGAGCTGGGCCTGGTGACACATGCTTTTAATCCCTAACTCAAAAGGTAGAGTCAGGTGAATCCCTCTCTGAGTTTGAGGTCAGCCTGGTCTACGGTGAGTTTCAGGTCAGCCAGGGATGCACAGTGAGACCCTGTCCCAAACAAACAAAACATTTGGTGGCATTCACAGAAGCCATCTGGCCCTAGACATTAAACATGTTGGGAGCTCTTGATTATGCATTCACAAACTCTTTGCTCATTTTAAATACTAATGTTTCCTATGTCTTCCTTATTCAGCCAGGCACTGTGTGTTTTGAGAAATTTGCCAATTTCTACTAGTTTATTTGATGTTTTTACATCAGTTCCTCTCATAATCCTGTTTCTATAAAACCAGAAGTAATATCGCATCTTCCATTTTGAGTT